ATGATGATTATGATTATTAATGCCTGACTCTGGGTGTGTTCTTTTGTGTTTTGTTTAACATTATTATTTTTTTGTTGTTGTTTATTATTATTGTTATTATGATTGTTATTATCATTATTAATAATATTATTATTATTATTTTTTTCTTTTCTTTTTTCAAGGACCACAATGAAAAACATTTCTTTAAAATGATTGTGTCATCCTGGCTAAAGATATTAGTAAATAAATAAATAAATAAATAATAATTAAAATAATAATAATAATAACAAAACCAACAACAACAATAATAATAATAATAATAATAATAATAATAATAATAATAATAATAATAATAATAATAATAATAATAATAATTTCAAGGAACTCTCTTTTCAATCGTCTTTTATCGGGGTTTTTTTTTCTATAACTTTCTTTTTTAGAAATTCATCCTCTTTTGTCGTTCACATCAATTTCAATATCAAATGTATTTAAATGCTTAGCAGAAAAAAAATTAATATTGAACTGTATGCTATAATGATAATAATATTAGGCCTAATAATAATAATAATGATAATAGTAAATAAATAATAAACAACAACAACAATAATAATAATAATAATAATAATAATAATAATAATAATAATAACTGGTCAGCTTCCTCTTCTGTTGCCTTGCAAGTTGTATTATATCTGTTACCGTAATTGTTTTCTATTTATACTTAAATTGATTATACTTGGCCATTAATGATCTTTTCTCTTAATAGTACCCGGTCAGATAACATGTATCCTTTCTTATTCAATTATTAATCAGCCTCAAAAGCCAAGTTTATCATTTTGGTCGCTTAGTTTTTGTTTTTTTTTAACGTTTTGTAATTGTTAAGGTTGACGACCAAATAACTCAATCTATGAGCATATCAATGCGTCTGTTTTTGGTTTTAAAAAGGCGAAGGAATATGATTGACAGCCATAACATCGACCATTGTATTAGGCCCATGCTCATTGTGCTCATTAAGTCAAATAATATATTTTTTGAATAACATCAAGAGCCGTACTAGTCTAATTCCGGTACTTAAAACAAAACGAAAGGGAACACTTTTGAGAAGGGGTTGAGATGTTATTATAACAAGCTTTCGTATCAACAGTAATATAAAAGAAGTGTATACAAAAGCTTATGATAATGAAATTTCAACAAGTCCCAAAGTTTAATTGTTGCCTTGTTCCTATAACAAATATTTGATTTGATATTGATTTTAATACTTCAACAGCACTTACGTTCCCAAAACTATTTACTTGCTAACTTATTAAAGTCAGTATAGTATTTCCTGTATATATATATTATTTCTCTTCGTTAAGCAATGGATGTTTGAAATACACTTTAGAAAGTAAGTAGCGAGTTTTTAACACAATGAATACCCTGGATTATGTGGGCTGTGACGTTTTACTCAACGTATATTTTGTCCCAGCAAGAACCATTAACTCTACCACGCATATAATTTTTCCTGCTCTCCCGCTAAATTTCCCTTTTTATAAAAAAAAGATGAAAAAAAAAATCCATTACTTTCCACAATACATTATTTACATATAAAATGGGTCCAGCCTTAAAGTAAATATTACTTAACTTTTAAAATAAATAAATAAAAAATATTACTTAGTTTATACGCATGAAAATTGGGTCCAGAACATTTAAAAGCTATGCCCAAGTTAGTTTTAAAATGGCTCCACATTAGTTGGACAACGGGTAAAATGGGTCGATATTGTTTAGGTTTTACTCGTTTTCAAAAATAGGTCCATATTTGTTAAATTTTACACATTAGTTTTTACGCAAGAAATGAGTTCCACATTAGTTACATTTTACTCTCATAAAAGAGGTCGAAATTTTTAAAATGGATCCACATTTTTATGTCTTTTACGCATGAAATTGGTCCACTTTATATAAAAATGTGTCCATATTAGTTACTGTACATTTTACGCATAAAAGAGGTCAGAATATTAAAATTGAGTCCATATTTGTCAGACTTTACTGGTAAAATGGGTTCATATTTTGTAGGTTTTACGCATGAAATGTGTCCACTTTTTAAAAATGTGTCCACATTACAGCAAAGGTACGACCTAGGTTGAAGCTGCCGACTAAACCAAATGCATATCCAGATCAATTTAGAAGATGGGTCCACCTTAGTTAGATTTAAGGTATGGGTCCTGATCTTTGAAATGGTCCACATTATTAGGTTTAGAGGCCCTACGCATGAAATGGGTCCACATTTTAGAAGATGGTCGACATTAATGTGTGTTTTACATGCCGGGATGTAAGTTACTGAAATCGAATTTTCAAAATAGTCCACACTATAATGAGTTTATATGCTTAGATGGATTCACGTTTAAAATGGTGTGTCCACTCGAGTAAAATTTTAAGTGTAAAATGCGCCCCAATAAAAAAAATGATCCACGTTATTCAGTTTATATGCATGAGATGGGTCTATATTGTAAAAGATGGGCCCACATTAGTTAAATTGTATGTGTAAAAATTGTAAAAATTTCCGTCCTACCCTTTGCAACTAATTATTTGATAGGCCTATATTATATTACCAGACATCTGCAGTTGCTAAAGTATAATTTTTTTCAAGCTAAGGTGAATGTGAACTTTCTTAATACTATACTTAGGCTCTCTGATATAAATATATATATATAGAAATGTATATAAATATTTGCATTTTGAGTTGCCATATTATATTATAATTATCTTAGCAACACCATTGTATGGCTGAGGTGGATGTGTAAATTCTTGATGCTCATTCCTTCCTCTTATTTATGCAACAAATAATTGATCTTTGGGAACCATATTGAAAGTCATTTCTAAACACCCAGGGTTGCTAAACCCTTATATTTTTTTGTTTAGTCCATGGTAGACTGAGGCACAGATGTGGTTAGAGTGGTCATTTATCCAGCCACAGCTTCATGAGTCAGACTATTTTGCACTGGTCGAAGAGGTTTTAACACGTGGTAATAAAAAAAAAACAAACAAAGGAGGTGCATTTTGGGGAAAGGGGAAGAGAGTTTGGCCGGTCCGACAAACTTCTCCCACTCCTCCCCGTCACTGCTAATAATTAATATAGTAGTATTAAAAACTGTGTACACAGTCAATAACACACATTAATGTTGGTTTGAAATGGGTCCAATCTTGGATGGGTCAACTCTTAAACTGTCCCACACTGTTGGAAAATCCTGGCTACGGTATTGATTAAGTCCTAATTAGTACACTATTAATTCCGACTATGTGGCTATTTGACCTTTCCAGGTACCTCTCCGAATATTGATAAATAACAAATAATAAATCTTAAATCTTTAAAGAGTTTGGAGGTGACAGCAGGAGTTTGCTTTGATTGTATACACTTGTCAATACAGTAATTATATTTAAGGCTCAGACGGTTTACCTCGACGCTTGACGCTACATGACTGAGCCAGTGCTTATCTTAGGCCTACTGTCTGTCTGTGTTGCCTCTGAGATATTAAATGAGAACACACAAAACTACTACTTGCTAGCCTAAAATCTCACAAGCCTAAAACCGTTCCACCATCCGTCAGCATCAACCTTTGATTATTCTGAATTAACATTTCACTATTGTTGTTTTGTCTAAAGTTATGCTGAGAGAAACAATTTAACAGATATAGACGATGACACGTTGCAAAGTCTGCCTCATTTAAAGCATATGTAAGTCGACCTCCTTTTAAACTGTTTTTGTTAGGTCTAGATATAAACATTTCCTATATTAGTCCTACATACTGACAGTAATATCATTAACAAGTATACGGGACTCTTACGTCACACGCGGATGTCATAAGTTCTCGTGAACAATTTTGTTCTTTTGAAAGCTTCCATGTGGAGTGTCTAACCAAAGAGTTTTAACACCAACAAAAGCCATTTCTTCATAAATTTCTATCAAGTATACCTGTCTCGATAATAAATCTAGCATCTAATATTGTTTTCCCTTTTAAAATGAATTTAGCATGGTGGTCACTAATGCGATAATATCACCTGACTCATAACCTTATCACAAAATGTGTGAAAACAGCTTATGGAATTATGTTCTATTTGTAATGAAATGTGTTCATATTTACAGATTTCTGAACTTTAACAAGTTGAGTACTTTACCTAAGTTTCCAAAGGGAATACGATTCATGTATGTATTGCTACCTTGTGTTTTTGTTTCTATAAAATTGTATCAATATATATATATTATATATTTATTATATCATCATTGAACATATTCTAACTTGGAAAGTAGTGTACTTTTCAAATGTTGTGTTATATGGTGTCCCAAAAGTTTTGACACCTTTTTAAAGCTTCATACTTCCAGTAAAACCATTTGCAATCTGAAACTAAAAACACATTTGGATAGAAAAAAAAATTAGTCTTTGGTCGCACAAGGCGAAAAACGACAGTTTTGCTCAATGTGGTTTAATTTTACTTTAGACATATGCATTCATGCGTAGGCTGAATGACTTTGCCGAACAGGTTTCCATTAGATCTATTCCGATTAATTTACATTATTATTATAAATGTGTCACATTTATTAATAAGGATAATGGTATTATAAAATTAAAATCACTATGAAAAACCCTTCCTCTCTTTCTCTCTGTTGCTCCCTCTTTTTATCTGCCGTATTTTCTTTGGCCTACGAGTTATGAAAGTGTGGCTTTACAGTTCAGAAAACTTCTGCTTGTTATTTGGAAACACATATTGCTGTAATTAAATGTTTGGTAGCAAAATAATTCTACAAACTTATTTTATCCAAATAATGTTTCACAAACTATTTAACGGAACTATTGGAAAATGGATTAAATTTCTCCTAGTAATTAATATGTTATTATAGTTTATTGGATCAAGAAGTTTTTTTTTCAACTTTGCAGCATTCAAAATTAATAGTGACGTTTGGGAAATTTCATAACATGTCCAATGTATGAGGGAAAAACGATAATTTTTGTCTTGCAGATCTGCTACAAACAATAATATTCAATCTATTGATGGTTCTTTTGAAGACTTAACTATGCTTACTGGAGTGTAAGTTTTGAACATTATTTGTTTTAATATAATATATTTATTGCTTTAATTTTAACGAAAAATTAAATTCCAATGCTTTATCGTCATACAATATGCGGACTTTGCTTTATAAATTTTATTTGAGCAATGTTATTTA